AAAAGCCTTAACTAAAACAAATTTATAGCCATTTTATGTGTAAAGATACATTTTATTAAAAAATAGTAATAAACTTAATTAATTCTTATTCTAACAGAAATTAATGTATTTTTTCATTTTAACTGATGAAAAAAGTATTCGTACAAAACAAAAAAAAGCATATTAACTTAATTTAATACTTTGTGGAATATCCTTTATTTAGTTCAACAGCTACCAGTCTATTCCTGTACGTTTCAAATAATGATTTGCACACATTGAGTGGTATTTTGTCCCATTCTTCTTGGCATATTCTCTTCAAATTCTTGATATTTGTTGGTGCTCTTTGCCCAATTTAAGTTTTCAAATATCGTCATAAATTCTCGATTGGGTTCAAGTCTGGGGACTGACTTGGCCATTGCAAGACATCAACGTTACTTTCAGCTAACCATTTCCTTGTAGATCTAGCGGTATGCTTAGGATCATTATCCAGTTGGAAAACCCAATCAGGTGGTAGGCGAAGTCTCTCAACAGAACGCATTAAATTGTCTTGCAGGTATCTTTTGGCATTCATCTTGCCATCTATCATTGATATTCTGCCAACACCTTTTACAGAAAAACAGCCACAGATCATAATACTGCCAACACCAAATTTTACAGTTGGCAACGTGTTCTTTGGTAAGTAGGCTTCGCCGTCCTTCTGCCACACATGATTTCGATAATTATGACCAAACAACCCTATTTCAGTCTCATTTGTCCATAGTACTGTTTCCCAAAACGAATATTCTTATCCTTATGCTCTCTAACGAATTTTAGCCTAGCATCTCTGTGTTGTTTCAAGACGAGTGGAGTCTTCCTTGGGATGCGTGATTTCAGACTGTTTTTGTGTAGTTCAATACTTATTGTACGCTTGGTTACTTTAATCCCTAATGCACGCAGATGTTCCTGCAGCTCTTCTCGGGTAACCTGTGGATTTTGTTGGATCTGGAGTCCTAATATCCTTGCTGATCTCAGAGAAATCTTCCTCGGAGCACCTGTTCGTCTTTGGTTTTCGACGCTGTTACGAGTTTTAAACGTTGCATTGAACGAAGCAATTGTAGTAAAAGAAATATTCAGGTTGTTAGAAATCGTTCTGTAACTGTTCCCATCTTTCCAAAGAGACAAAATGTGTTGTTTTTGTGAAATAGTCAATTCTTTACCGTTAGGCATTATTAGAACCTTCTCGTAAGACTAGAAATTGCCGAATGCTCTGATAATGGCTAATAGCGTTAAATATAATTATTGATAACATTACTGGAACATTCTAGAATATACTTTTTTCATAATTGATTATTTTATTCTAATAATTGATTTGCACGAATACTTTTTCACCAGTTAGAATTAAAAAAATGGATTAATTTCTGTTAGAATAAGAATTAATTAAGTTTATTATTATATTCTAATAGTATGTGTCTTTATACATAAAATGTGCCGACATTTGATTTATTAAGGCTTTTACATTTATAAAAATACAATTTTTCAAATGTACGAATATTTATTTCCCCCCACTATATATATATATATATATATATATATATATATATATATATGTAAAAAGAGTATATAAATATAAATAAATATATATATATGTATAATTATTTATATGTTATATGCGCGGTACTTATTAGAAAGCGCTCAATATCAGAGATAGAGCTAACAAACTCACATCTATCCAACCATATATATATATATATATATATATATATATATATATATATATACAAGTAATACAAATAACATTTGTCATTTTGTCATTTATCTTATTGTTGTTATATTCAGCACCTAAATTCAATAGAATTTTTAATTGTTTAATTCATTAATTCATTCATATATATATATATATATATATATATATATATATATATATATATATATATATATATATATATATGCAGTTGTATGGATATAAGTTTATAATTCTGGGTTTCACGCTTTTGCGACCATCATATGAATATGTTAGCTCTGTCACTGATATTGAGCACTTTTCAATAAGTATCGCACATATATAATATATATAGAAATTATATATATACTTAAGCGAATATCCGTTGCTCTTTTATGCAACGTGTCCATACAAGACAAGGACGATCATGGTTCTCCACAACATCCGATTATTTGTAGCTAAATGTAATATTTGTCTCGTTACTAAACCTCCAGGTCTCTATCCTGCCATCAATTTACACAAGCTGGCTATTTGCCTTTCCCTGTTTTGCTTTCGATACTTTCAAATTCTCCATGTACTCTTTCCTCATTAGCTGCCCTTAAATTACACTTCACCTTGTCTCTATGGAAGCATTTATAGAAAAGTCAGAGTAAATTTACATTACGGCGGTGGGAAAGTGACTGATGTCGAGATGCAAGGTCAGGACTAATGATCGTTCAGGAAACGATACGAAAACAATTTGACAGCTACTAGAAATCTTTGTACAAACATTGAAAAATCGTCCAATGCTCAAAGGTGAAGTTTGTTTTTGGTATTTAGCCTTGGTTTCTATAGACTGTCAGCATCCAGGGTATATTATACCTACTCTAGAAATCCCTACGCTGTCAACTAAACTGGTTTTTGAATTTTGATGAATCCGTTTTTAATTCGCTTTTTATGAACTTAACATCAGAGACTAGTCCTCATAAAATTATTCCTCTGCATATTCCACGAGGTGTCTTTGTCATGACGTAAACACCAATAAAAGTTTTAAATTTAACGTCTACAGTTTGGATCTGAAATATATTTCAGTTTTAAACAACCCTCAAAGGGTTGCTAAGCAGTAAAAAAAAAAACAATTACAATTTGGATGCTATTCAGAGGTCCTCATGTGCCATTTGCCAAGAGCGTTGACGTTTTGATTTTTCGATTTTCTTAATCGAATTCACCCCATGTAAGGAATTAAAACCATTAAGACAAAAGGTGGTTGCTAGGTGTGAGAATTAGAAAACAAACATTATTGCGGAGCACAAACAATAGAAGAATAATCAGCAATACAGTCGATAGCTATGGACATTGTTTTTAAACTTTTGAATATCAAACTTGTCTGGAATTCAAGAAACCGAAAGAGAGTTCCATAACCAAGAAGTCAGAGAAAATAAACTGTTAGCATAGAACTGACGGTTACATGTAGCAAATTCAATTGTAAACCGAATGGATCTTCTTGCCAATCTAGTAATGCGCTTAAATTCATAAAGTCTAGACACGATATGAAAGAGTTCATCCGAACAATTACATAAAAGTGTTTATAGAAAAAGCATAAGGAAGCAAGATATTGGGAAAATAACTGAAATCGAGACGCCAGATCCGGAATCAATAATATTGCTGATTCTTCTTTGGTTATCATCTAGAATATCCAAATATATAGCAGGAAGACTGGACCATATGTAGCAAGAATATTGAAAACAAGGACGAATGGTAGACTTATAAATATGTAAGATAGATTCAAGAGAGAAAAATTGTCTAGCACATCACAGAGAAGATGTTGGAAAAGTATCTGAAGTCGTGACGCCAATCCACACTAATAATATTGCTCATTTGTCTTTGCATTTTATCAAGAATCTCTAAATATAGACCGGGAGTACCGGACTCTATTTGGCAGCAATATTCAAAGCAAGGAAGAATGGTAGACTTATAAATATATAAGGTAGATTCTGGAGAGAAACATTGCAGATTCCTCATGGAATTTTATCAGGAATCTCTAAATATATAGCAGGAACATCGGACCATATGTGGCAGCAATATTCAAAGCATCGATGAATGGTAGACTTTTAAATATGTAAGAGAGAAAAATTGTCTAGCACATCACAGAGAACCAACCTTCTTAGCAGCTGACCCAACAGCTGATACAGTATAGTCTCTCCACTTCATGTTAACCGAAATTGCTAGCCCAAGAAAACGCAACGATTCAATCCTGGAGGTTAGCATCGGAGATGTTTCATTGTTGATTCATCTGGTAAACAATAATCATCTCTCAAATATTTATAAAATAAATTAACGTGTCCAGATTATTCAACGGAATCATGCTTGAACACACACACACACACACACACATATATATATATATATATATATATATATATATATATATATATATATATATATGTATATATATATATATATATATATGATCAACCAACTTTCTTAGCAGCAGGTATTAAATATTACAGTTATTTTCTTCTTTGTTTTTTAACTATATTTTCAGATGTCTAAATTCTTTGCTTAGTTTCTGGAACGCATTTTGGCAATACCCCTCCTCCAGCTTCGAATTTCGGTGTCACATTACGTCATCTGCTGCTACAGTATTCTGATAGATAAATGCCAGTCCCTGTTTAGTTTTGATGGCCTCCGTACGCAGCTGAAATATTCAGCTGTCTCTCTTGTTGCCGACCACGAATTCTCATTTCTGACAGTTAACAGATAGTCCTTTTTTCTTCTGCTTTCATGCGCCAGTAACTGCCTACAACACCCTGTTCTTTTGTTGATCTACATAACATTTGACCTTTTACCATCCTTCATTCTCTTGGTCCTCTCCCATCCATTTGCACAAACTCATTAAGTCGTTGCCCTCCACAATATCCGCTCTTTTGTTGCTCCAAGTAACTTTTGCCATATTAACATCTTTGTATTTGTCCTACCATCCATTCAAACAAACTCGTTAAGTACATGATAACGGCTCTCCACATCTTCCTGTCTGTTGTTGCTCCAAGTAACTTTTGACATATTAACCTTTTATTTGTTCTACCATCCAATTGTGGGTGTTGATTTTTTGTTCTACCATCCAATTTCACAAGTTCGTTAAGTAGATGATCACGGCTCTCCACAACTTCCAATCTTTTGTCATTCTAAGTAACCTTTGATCATTTACCATCAATGTTCGTCTTTCTTCAGCTAATGATATGCAAAACCTGCTTCAGTCGGTTACTCTCTTTTTCCGTCTGTTTCTTTTTCCATCACTATGCCCTGTAAATACAGGCCCTTTTTTTTCTCATTATGTGTCGGCTTACGGTCATATCACGTTGAAACACCGGGTTCTCATACGATCACCGAAGTCAAGAAACGTCGACCCTGGTCAGTACCTAAATGGTTGACCGCTTGGAAATACCAGGTGTTCTGTGCGGCTGGTGTCATGAAAGTGTGGATGGTGTTATGGATAAGGGCTAGAAATTTGAAATCGTCCAGACGAGCTCCAATTCCAGTTGGGTTCGTTATATCCACATACAAGCTTATACCCTTGCGAAAGGTATGAATTGGCCGCTTTTCCCCCAGCTATTGGTTAGGACTTGTATCTTTAAATCATTAGAATTTTCAAATCATTCTGAAAATCTAAAACTATTTTCTGGCTTTCAATAATCTGCAAAAGGTTGTATTATATAGGAATAAAGTGTCGCTGCCGACACTTGAGTTTGAACATAGTTCGTCAGTGAGCAAACAGACGAATTCAGTGGATCACGTGACCATGGGAGAAACGCAAAAGTAGTTAATAACGGGACGTCTAATTGATCAATATTTCTAGTCTATCCTCTATTATTCCACGAACCGCTATTCTCTATTCTATTCACTCTATTTCTCTGTTCAGATCACTATACGGGTTACTGGTCGAGCGAGTATTATCAAGGAAGTACTATTAGTGCGAGTGATATTCGAAGGCATCTGACACCAGTATACTTCAACGGCGTTACTATAGTGACAACGAGTATTCGTTGACATTACAAAAACTGTCACACGAGTGTTCGTTGGCATCACAAAAGGTTGATAAACCGTAAAAATGTATCATGATGTCTCACAGAAATTTGAGAATTTGTATGAAATAGCAGAAAAAGTTTACTTGTGACGCGTTTCATGTTTCAGGACTTCATCAGACTCATTTTTTTACGTTTGTAGGACTACACCTGCTGACGACCGAGGGGTGATGTGAAGTTTAGAATTTTTCCTTTTTTACCTAACTGAATCTCTCAGTAATTGTAACTCTTTCTGATTGTAGTCATAAGTTTTCTTGTAATTCCTATATTTTTAAACGTCCTCTCTTCTCACATATTCTGTCCACAGTGGTATTCCTTGATAGAACCTGTTGAATATGCAAACTCAAATCTATAATTAATAATATTAAAATTCATTTTCTATATATTATGTCCACTTAGAACTTGTGTGATCATGGCACTCTAAAATATCTTGCTCCATGACGAATGGTCAGATGATCATTATTCTTTAGTTCCGGCAGTTCAGATCTTTATACCTAGGATAGGTCTTGCCACGACCACAGAATCGAAGCATCCTTATTCCCTCCGTATTCTAAACGTCGGAAGAAAATTGAATTTTAAGCTCTTCGAATCAATTGCAATTCGCTATCTAACCTCCTATACTTCATAATTCCCACTTCGGAGTTGGCCATCTTCACATTCATTTCGCATAGCTCATTAATACAAGGTACGAAAGCCACTCAAGATAGAGCATTACTGCGTGGTGCTGTTTTCGCGTACTAAAAAGCAAGAAGGGAACTACATGTGACCATGCTGTCCTGGGTATGATGATAAACTATATCCGGTAGCAAGGTCTCTGATCGAGAGATTGGGGGTTTTTCAGGAGTGTGGAAACACGTCTTAACTGCTGTTCTTACCAAGTGCACCCTTAACCGGGTCATCTGTTAAGAACCCGAAAAACAAAACACTATGAAAGTATAAAAATATGCCTTTATATTAAAAATACTAACAATAAACTATGATATAAAAAAGGACCAACAATGACTCTTCATAGTAAAATGACCAACGATATATTTTGAAGGCATAGAGGTGTGTTCAAAATATGTATGGTTAAATGCCTGAAATTGTCTACAAATTATATTTGGCCACTGAATAATCCATAAATAATTCATGCAGTTGTAACCCACCCAATAAGGCCAGGGTTCTTACACCTAGAAAGGTGCTGAACATTTGTGAGGGGGTGCAAAAAGCATTGTGTTTATTGAGTATCTTTAAAAGGGCCAAACCATCAAGGGAGAGTACAGTGCTGACTTGCTGAGGCAGTTACGAAAGTTTATCAAAACCAAACCCCACCCAGAAAAACTGACAGAAGGCTTATTGTCTCATCTGGACAAAGCTCCAGCACAGGGGCCCTTGGTTTCAATTGCGGTTGTGCGTAACTGTAGATTTGAACGGGTTGATCACCCACCCGATTCTCCTGATTTGATTCCATATGATTATCATCTGTTCCCCAACATTGAAAAGAATCACTTGGCCGAGAAAAAGTATCATACTAATGATGACCTCATATCTGCTGTTGATGACGTTTTTGAAAGAATGAAAGTTCTTTTTCCAATGAGACTTTAGCACTGCAACAGTAACGGAAGAATTGTTTAGACCACAAGGAGGACTAAGTTGAAGAATAAACCTCATTCCATGAAAGTATTTTGGTTAGGCTTTGTATATTAAGAGAAAGATTTGATCTTTTCAAGAATATGAGAAAAATCGTCAAGAATGTCTCATCCATCAAAATTAAATTATCTTTACAAGTGAACAAACGCACAAGTAGTTATTACGTTTTAGAAAATAATATAAGATTTCCCGATAAATTTATTTTCTTTGGTTATGTTTATTTTAGGATATTTAAAAATGGATAGATTCCTTAAAAAAATTCTTTCTTCGGAAAATAATTGGGCGTGTATAAGTGCGTGTGCTTAATTTGCTTAGGTAATTAGAATCTTATTTGTCGATCAATATTTTATTTGAAAAAAAGCTTATAGATCAAAATTGTTATTCATTTGTAACCATAAAACGTGTTCTATCTTTCTTATTTCTGAGCAGAGATTTTAAAAATATAACGTAATATCGACACATTAATTGAATTATAATTATCTAGGCGTATTTTATAAGGGAAATCATACCTACACATAAGTACATATATATAAGTATATATATATATATATATATATATATATATATATATATATATATATAAGTATAAGGGATATCGTCACAAATAAATGCGAATTGCTTCACCTATATATTTACAGTAAATTGATATTTTACGAATTCATTTTCAGAAAATTTTTCTACAATGAATACAGCCTCGTGTAATGATTGATTGTCTGATTTGTTTTTTTTACGGATTATCAACGTTTTGCAGGTTATTTAAAGCCAGATTAAGATTGTAAGAATTTGTGGTGATAATAATGACTTACTGATAGAAGTCTAATTAACCCATAGCTAGGGGAGAGTTGGATTCATACCTTTGCCCAAGGTTATTTACGAGTAAGTGATTATGACGAACCCGACTGGAATTGAAACTCGGTTCTCAGATTTCCAATTTCGAGGCGTTATCTATTACACCACCCGCACGTCCAAGCTTACTAACCAATGTCTGGTTAGAAAAAATATATACTGTAATTTAACTAACCAGACGCTTCCTCTGTAGCTGAATGACATAGCACGTCAGGCCAAATGACGGTCCGTGTAGGATACAGGTTCGATTCCTATCGGAGGACACATATGAAATTTCTCAAACATTCACTCATTAATGGAGTTAATACTGTTTATTATAAACAGAACCTTTACTTAAATATTGGTAAATCCATAAAGATTTCTTCAAAGGGAGGAAGAGGATATCACAGACTGAGCATGTGAGCAACGATGATGCTTTGGAGAGGATGCAAACAAGGAGGAGGCTTATACTTAACATCAGGAAGAGGCAGTTAAAGTTTCTGCGACACGTAATGAGAAAGGAGGGCATGGAGAATCTGATACTCACGGCTCGAATAGAGGGAAAGAGAGACAACGGAAAGCAAAACATGACATACCTAGCAGGCTTAAGCAAGTGGATGACAGAACATGCTCTGGGGGAGGTGGCAGAGGGACGAAACTTATTGAGAGCTATAAGGGATAGAGGGGGAAGTGGAGAGCCATGATCGCCTACGTCCTGAAAAGACACTGCACATCAAAAGAAAAAATAACGTATAAACAAAATACAAACTGACACCATAAACAGTTTGAAAAATCCTGCGAATTTAAAATTTAAAATTCGCAGGTGAAAATGATCATTAACTAATGGTATCTTAATTCCAATTGTACGAATATATATATATATATATATATATATATATATATATATATATATATATATATAACATAAAGAAAGAAAGAACGGTAAGATATAAAATCCGGTGTTCTTATAGATATTTTTATTTTTAACAAAATAGTGCTCAATGTAAATTTACAGAGCATTAATATTATAAATTAATTGATTTAAAATATGGTTTTTTTTTTACACAGTTCCAACCATGTTTCAAAATAGAATCTAAAACCCCAATTTAATTTTGCAATTAAATTAAAAGCATTAGTTCCATTTCATCTTCAAGCGATGGAACTAATGCTTTTAATTTAATTGCAAAATTAAATTCGGGGTTTTTAGCTTCTATTTTTGAAACATGGTTGAAACTGTGTAACGAAAAGAAACATATTTTAAATCAATTAATTTATAATATATATATATATATATATATATATATATATATATATATATATATATATATATATATTAACAAAATTATTGGTAATTCGTATTGGAATTTCCAGGAGGATATAGATCGGTTGAGAGCTCTATGTCAAAAACTGAGTAAAATTATTATATAATGACAAACACCTCAAGTATATATATATATATATATATATATATATATATATATATATATATATATATATATATATATATATATCATGATCAATACAAATGAAATGTGGCACGGAAATTATTGTTATATCGAAAAACTTTTTATTAAACATTAGGTCCACTCGTCAGGAGGTTTTAGCAATTGACTGTCGATTTTCTCATTTTCGACATCTTTTACTAAGTTTGAAGCAATTCATTTATGCGATCTTCATTGACGTGAGGTTGATTTTTCCTTCTTTTGTGCTTGTATCCGTGTGTATCTGTTTGCTTGCGTCTGTATACATGTGTACGCGTGTTCCTGTCTGCATGTGAGTACGTGTGGAATGCCATGGTTATCTCTCTTTTTAAAGAGAGAGAAAGGCGAGTGAGAGGATATTGAAAAATGACGTAAACAGGAAATTGTAATATTGATGAAGAAATGATTTTAAATGAAAAATAGAAAACACTCAATA